TTCATTGTGACATTACCTTGGAAAAAGTTAATATACACAGAAATTCGTCAGCTGAATATCCAATTAGAAAACTTTTTTAAGAGGTAACCCATTATGGAAAGTTTTTTATTAGTCCTAGGATTAACAATATCAGAATTCCGTTGCGGACATTATTTATTCTCGACAATGTGGTTTGCCGTTATTTGAGACATTTCTAAATATGAGCCGCGTGGCCATATTCATAACAACTAATATCCAAAAACACTTTCTTTCGGTAAATGCTCTTTATGTATACCTTATTTTAAAGGTTTTGATGCAAACGCGGAACAGAAGCGGACTATTTAAATGACCACATAAAAACACTGAAAACGACGAAAATTATGCCAAACTATGTTGGAAGATATCCAATAAATAGTTAGCCACTAATGGTAATATGCACAAAATATGTTGACTTAAGAAAGGTTCTCTTCATATAAAGAAATTAGTTACGTTCCGCATTTAACTTACAAGAAGATTTAAATTTATTGGTCTAATTTATGGCTATTTTTTACGTCTACAGTACTTGAAGATTATACGGAAAATTTCGTTTTTCTTAACAAACACTTAGCACTTCTTGCATTTCTTTTAAGTGCTAAATTTTCCTAATGCTCTTTATTATTTTTTTCTAAGTTTTCGGAAATGTCTTCATGCCGGTATGCGAGGAAGTATCAAACATTTAAAAGCTTAGGCAAGTTGCTTGCAGCATCACAATACTGTAAAATAGTCCCCCAACGGACTGAAACTCACACCCGCCATCAAAAGCAAACACCACGCGCACCTTAAAAAGTTGCGTTTCCACGTTGCCCTCAGGATCGGTGGTTTGGTGATGCAGCAGGTAGTCAGTCGCCACCAGGGTGTCCTTGAGCTCAAACTGAGTGGCCGACTTGCGCGCCTTGATTGAGGGCGTCAGTATGGTGCCCAGCGGCGCAGCAAAGACCTCCTTATGCTCCAACCAGACCGCCTTGCTGCCACCAGCGGATTTGGAACGTCGGTGGTGCCGAGGATTCACGGCCGCGGGGCGATTGAGGATGTCAGCGAGGGGAGAGGTGGGAGTTTGACGTTTGGCGTTCCGAAGGCGGTAAACCGGAGCAGTCTGGCCACCACCGCGAAGCTTGCCACTCCTCCCTTCCTCCTTCAGACGCTGCGCCTCGAAACGACGCGAAAGGGCGGCCACCCTGCCCTGTGGACAGAAAATGGGGTGCTGGGAGATTATCCTGGCAGAACAGCTATTAGTTAAATGACCAGACACGCGGGTTTCGCTGGCATTCTACTGTTGCTGCTGCTGCATGACATACACCTGTGAGTGGTTCGGTGCGTCAGTGGCGCCACCGTGCACTTTCCGACAGATACTACACTTTGTACAGGATAGGAGTTAAACAT